GGGTGGCTGGTCTGCAGGCTGTGGCATCTGCCTATCACGAAGCAGGCATATGGGAGTTCTGGGGAAAACGCGGCCAGACCCATGTGCTGCCCCATTCCAAAGGCATCCTCACATGTGGTCAGCAAGCTCACGGACGCATTTACGGAATCGAGTCCATTTTTTGCAGCTGACACAATTTCACATCATTCAGGAACTGACAGGGCTCTGTGTCACGTTGTAAGATTCTGTAACATGCCAGGAATGTCCCCACAGGAAGGCTGCAAGAGGCCCGAGGTGGGAGCTGTGCTCTCCCGGGAAAACCAGCACCACATGCATGCCCGCCACTGACCTCCAGGTCCCAAGTCTGCAGAGAGGGGCCGCCCTGTCCACAGGGTCTCCCCTGGCACTGGCTGGTCTGGCTCCAGGGGTTGTTGGGAGACTCAAGCAGGCCCACCTGCCTGTGGGGAGGCGGCGACTGAGCAACCAGACTTTGAGACTCAGAGGAGACACTTACGTGACAAGAGGGAAGAGCCAGGTCCCCCGCACGCTGTCCCCAAGGAGGAGACGGAGCCCAGTGGGGCCACACCCTTTCTGTGTCACCAGGACTGGCCCCAGACCCTGAACGGCCCCTCCCTCGTCATCCATGCACAGGGTCCTCCCTAGCTGGCTCTCTGCCGGCCTCGCCCCCTCCACGTGGTGGGGTCTGTGTAGTGAGGGGCCCCGTGGGGGATGGGGGTGGCCCCTCTGCCCTTGACTGTACCTGGGTGTCCCCTTCCCAGGGTGGGTATCTACCTCTGAGGCAAACGGTCAGAGTGTGTCTGCAGGGTGTCAGTACAGGCCTGGCAGGCCGCTGGCTGGGCTCTGGGAAGGCTGAGGCCAGTCCCTGTGCCCATAGGCCCACCCCATGCTGAGGGACACCCCTACCCAAATGCACAAAAGTGATTTTTCTGAGTTAAAGAAGATATTGCAGAATTATGCTTGAAGTTGGAACAGAAGGCAACGGTTTCTGCAGAACCCCTACCTGCCCATGTGACTGAGCCTGCGCTGGGCTCTGGGCCACAGGGTGGGGCAGGAGGCTCCGTCACTTCCGCTGTGTGTGCCTCCTGGGCAGTGACTGGGAAGGCTGGTGCCACCAGGTGAGCAAATGAGCAGACAAGAGATTTTCTGTGGCTTTGAGGGGTCACCAGGCAGAGGGGACAGTGAGGGCACACAGGTGACCTGGGGGCAGAAGCGTCGGTGAGGCTGTCTCTCCAGGGGCCCCTGGCTGACCCCAAAGGTGGGTCCTGTCTGTGGGGCCACGCGGGATCGCAGTGAGAGGAGGCGGAGGGGCGACAGGCCCGAGGCCTCCGTGTCAGCAGCCCCAGCCCCCACCCGGCCATCTGGCCACTCCTGCAGCCACCTGAACCCAATCGCCTCTCCTGCCTGCCCTCCCTGGGCCTGGAAGCCCATGGCTGGGGCCAGCGCGTCAGCCCAGTGGCCCTGCTGGTCCCCTGCCGGCAGGAGCTCTGCATCCTGGTGTTGGATGCCACACAGACCACTCAGCTGCCCGTGTGCAGGGTCCCAGACTCAGGCCGCTGGGCGTGGGGCTGGAGGGCAGGAGGAACTGCTCACGTCGCTGCACACTTGCGGGCAAGATGTGAGGGCCATGCATCCCTGCTGCCTGCCCTCGGGCGGCCAGCACGGTGGGTCCTGGACAGGGAAGCAATGCACACTCTTGCATCTCACTCCCACGGAAGTGGTTAACACTCGGGAACCTTGTCTATCAAGCAAGTGTCTGCCAACTGGCCTGAGATTCGGAACAACAAGCAGGAGGCACATTTCTAGCAGTTTCTAAATAGCTTCTGCCGATACCCACATCCTCAGCGAAGTCCCGGAGACTTGCGAGACAGAGTGAGAACGGCCCGGGGGTGCAGCTCCGGGTTTGCTGGGGGGTAGGCAAGGTGGAGGGCGGCCTGCAGCCTGGGGTGGCTGTGCTGCTACCAGGGTCTCGGCTCTGGGTCCCTGGGAGTTGGTGTGGACACAGCCCCTTGTTGCCCCATGGTGAGAACCGTGGCTGGCCCCCATGTGTGGACTCCGCTCCAGGGAGCTCAGTCCAGAGCTGGGGAGGCAGACCGGGAACCAGCTGACAAACAGCTGCCCCTGCAGTGGGCTGAGGGGCAGGGCAGGCTGGTGGGGTGGGCACTGTGGCCGCTGTGTTCGCCTGAGTCAGCCCTGCCCCAACTCAGTGGCCCAACAGGCCCAGCCCTTTAGCTCCCCGATACAGAAAGAGGGGTCTGCAGTGATGGCAACCGGAGCCTGCCGAGCCTCCCCAGGAAGCTGGATGGCATCCTAGCAGGTCCTCAGCAAGCGGGAGAGCCCACCACATGCTGAACTGGGGCTGGGGTGGCGAGAACATTCCAGGCAGAAAGCCCAAGGGCTGCCCCACGGCAGGAACCCCTCCAGGGTCCGTCCCCACAAGAGCCCTGGCTGGAGCCTGGCTGTGGGTGTCGGCGCGCCTCACCCCTTGCCCCCACCTTGGCTGAGTCACAGATGAGAGCCCTTCTCAGCGCCCTGGCCCCCAGGGGTGGACCCCGCCGGGAACTGTAGGTCCACAACTCAGCAAGGATTTCCTAATGCAAACTAGACAGTTGCCGGCAACCCCAGGTTGCTTCTGATTTGCCACAACCGGCTTGCAGAAAAGGCTGGTTTCCATGGAGCTCCCAGAGGGGGGCCTTAGGGTCAGGAGCCAGTTTGGACACTGGCACAGGAGTGAGGCCCGAACCCGAGTAAGGAAGCTGGTGTGGGGCAGGGGTGCGGGGCAGGACAGGCCACATCTCCGAGGGAGAGCTGGCGGAGGCACTGCGTGGGTGCTGGGGGTCTCAGCAGGCTTCCCCATGCTGTTCCCTGGGTGGGGTGGGGGCACATAAACACCCAGATGGGGAGGGGCCTTGGGGGCACAGAGGCAGGGAACCCTGAGGTGAGTCCTGCGGCCGGTGCCCTGACATGGGGTGTCTGGGTGGGCGCGGTGGTGGTGTCTGAGGGGAAGGGTGGCTTGGCTGCAGGCACCCCCTGGTGCGGCAGGGAAGCCTGGGTTTGCAAAGCCACGGGCATGATCTGTCTCACCAGTGGCTCTAGACCCTGAGGGAGCTCTGAAAGCGATCTGGGGGTGGCTAGCAGGAGCTGTAAGAAATTTGGGGGTTCAAATCTCTCTCCAGGATGTCTGTATTTGGAAACATGGGCTCAGGGGAGACGGGCTCCTCACCCTCAGCCATCCACCCCCACCTCGAGGCCCTAGCCTGGAGGCCCCCAGACGTGGGCTGGGCAGAGCATGAAGGTGGGCAGAAGCCCTGGCTGTGGGGCATTCTAAGGCACCTGGCTCCCCGCAGGAGGCCATGATCTCCGGCACCTTGAAGCCCCTCGGTGGCGCTGGCAGGGCGGCAGGGTGGGCTGGCCACTTTGGCGGAAGAGGATGTTTCAGCATCAGCTGGCAGCTATGAAGTCAGGCAGAAACTGCCCCTGGGCCTTGGGTCTGCGCACGTCCGTGTGGGCCATTCCTGGTGTGTTTCAGCTCATGTTTCTCACATGCATTGGCAAGACTGAAACCTTGGCAAGTGTGGGCTCTCTGGGCGTAGCAGGATCCTGGCTATTTTTTAGTCTGCGCTCCTCCAGTCGTGCGGAACCAGCTTCGTGTTTAATTCACAAGTGTGACTCAGAGCAGCACAGGGGGGGCACCTCTGCAGAAAGTGGCTCAGCCCGGCTCCTGCTCCTAGTGGGACCGAAGGCTTCTCAGCCTGCCGACCCCGTGCCAGCCTCCCAGTGTCCCGGCTCCTCCCACGCCCCCAGGTGTCAGCGATGAGCCATCTGATTGAAGGGTGTGTCGGCAGGCGGCGGCAGCTCCAGAGGAGCCGCCAGCCCTCTTCCCGCTGCTACTGAATTTCTTATTTTCCTAGCGTTTTGTCATTGGGTCTGCGCCCATGGGCCTCTGCTGTGCTGTACGGCTATTTCAACACGTGCCACTGAACTGTGTGACGAAAGACACATGCCTCCCAGGCAGCGTGAGCACGCAACATGCTGACCTTGGCTGATGTCACTGGCGGGGCCTCCTGCTCCGGTCAGAGGCCTGGCCTTGGTAGCAGGGAGCAGGTGGGCATCTCAGACGCCTGGTGCCCCTCCACGAGGGCCTGGTGTATACCCCACCATGGAGAGGCAGCTCATCTACCGAAAGGGGGTGTTTTCCTCCCGGTCTGCATGCACATCACCAGGACATCCTACTTCCGGCGCAGTCGGGGCTGTGCGCACAGCTTCTGAAGCACAGGGTGGCAGGGAGGCAGGGAGCAGCGGGGCCCCAGGGCAGCCCAGGGCTTGGGGCCTGCAGGGGCCGCCCGAGCCCTTGCGGCGTGTGGCTTGGTGGAGACATGTTTCTCCCGCAGGCAGTGGCCGGGACAGGCTCTCTAGGATTCAGCCTCCCCCCGGCAGGGCCGAGGGCTGCAGAGAGCACAGCTGAGGAGGGGCGATGAGGCCCAGGGTCTGCTCGCCTCCCCACGGCCTTCTCGGTTTGTCAGACAAGAACCCAAACTCGATTTGGATGAACCTGTCTCCCCTTCTGTAGGACAGGCGAGCTGCAGCCCAAGGGGCGGGACTGCAGCAACCTGGCACAGTCTGGGCCGCAGCTCCAGGGCGCCCTCCCAGCCCTGGGCACGCTCGCGGCGGGTCCCTCAGGCAGGTGGCCTCCCTGCCAGCCGTCCTCTGCAGGAAGCAGCCCTCTCTGCTCTGCCTGCCGTGTGCTGGCGGCCATGGGGACACGGGAGGGGCTGGCTGGTGTGGACCAGGCCCTGCCCCTTCGGGGCCCCACCCGGCCTGTTCTCCACACTGGCAGCCTTGATGTGTCCGCGGTATGTACACCCAGAAGAAACTGAGGCAGGTGTGAGACGTGCGGTACCCCGCCTATGAATGTGCGCTTCTGGGAGTCCCCACGTGCAGCCCAGCTGGTGGGGAGGCCAGACCAGCCCCCAAAGACCGTGAGTGGGTTCGGTCCCTCCTACCTGCTGCCTCCTGGAGGGTCCTGCTCGGCGGCCATCGTCTTGCCCGGGCTGCCTCTGGGTCCGCTGCCTGCCTTCTGGAAGGGGCCAGTGGGGTTCAGAGGAACATCGGCATCGGTGTTGGGCAGCAGTGGGCTGAGCCACAGGGGGTCTCCCTGCCCCTACCTGGGGGAAGCCATCGAAGAAGAAGACAGGGTGGTATGCAGGTGGACAGGGCCCAAGGCGGATGTCCAAGAACCGGGCACAGCCGTTTTCCACGCGCTGACAGTCCTCAGGCTGGCCGGGTTTGTGTCTCCTGGCTGCGGGGGAGAGGTTTTTCCAGAAAGAAGAGAAAGGCCCTTTAAGCATCATGAAGCAAAGATCATTCAGGACCCTCCACATAGCCTCTCTGTTGTGTCTCCTGAGGCTGAGGTGGCTGGGGCACAGCAGCTGTGTGGGCCTGGGATCTGGGGTCTGTGCCTGCTGCCCAACCCTAGGTGAGTGGCCAGGCTGGGGACAGAGAGGGCTCGGAGCTGGTGTGCTCTGGGACCCATGGCTGGGGCCCCCTTCAGGGCCTGGCAGGCTGATGCTTTGGAGCTGGGTCTCCTGGACACATGCCCTGCTATCTGAGGCCCTGGCGTCCGGCGCAGAGCCTGCACAGCCCCCAGGTCGGAGGCCCCGTGCTGTGCCCAGCAGAGTCCAGCATCTTCTGAAGAGCGTGACCTGAGGAGGACTTTCTACTGCATATTGGCTGCGTGCTGTGGGTGATGGCACACCATGACGAGCGTGAGGACAAAGCTGCCAGCAGCCACCAACCCCTACAGGGGGCACGGCCCCCCAGGAGACCCCCAGATCCTCTGGTGCCTAAGAAAGGTGGGGGGCTGGGCTCCATCCGTCTGTCACTGCAGCAGGTACTCTCCCTGTGGGTCCCTGCCTATCCTGGCTCCCTTCATCCCTCCCTTCCCAGGGTCCTGAGGAGGGAGGTGACTGTTCCGTGCTCTGCCCCACTTGTGGACACGGCTGTGACCCCAGCCGCTCGCCCCCACCCTCTGTCTCTTTTGCACAGAAAGTGGACAGCAGAGACTGCATGGGGACACCTGGGACCCCAGGACCTCCCAAACACATGGGGGCTCAGCTTCTGTGCTTTCCTGACTGCCCTGTCTCGAGGGTCCCGGCCCAGCTCATGAACATCACTGGGGAGGAGCTGGCCGAGCCTGGGGGTGGTGGCTGGACCAGGCAATGGGGCTAGCTGGAGGTGGGCAGAGTGGGCTGGGGGGCTAATGGAGCATAGGGGGACCCTTGGGGGGCCCTGGCTGAGTGGAAGGGCATCTCTTGTCCCTGCTGGATGGGGCCCTGGCACCGTGGGCATTAAGGCCCCTTCCCAGGAGCCAAACCTCTGCAGGGAGAGAGGAGACGGGCCCGGCAGTATTTCCAAATTACAGGTGGAGAATTACTTCTCTCAGAGGTGTCTTGATCTCATCCTGATGGCGCATTAAAAAGTGGAGTCTTTCCTTCTGCAAGGACGCTCTTTAATGTCCTTCCCTCCATTAGCTTTTGCCATCCACACACTATTTATGTCCTGCGTAATGGCTGGGAACGCACTGCTGACGGCGTAACTCCATCTCTCGGTGCACCGGCGGCTTCCACGGCGACTGAGGAGGCCCTGACTTTGACCACCTCTGTTATGGCCAACTCTGGGCAATGAGGACCCCAGCTCCGTGGCCTAGTAACCCTCCGCCAGGGTGAGCATGTGATAGCGGGCTCCTTCCACAGCAGCAGCTTCAGGCTGGACCTGCAGTGCCACTTCCAGGGCAAAGGGCGCACGGCAGGCGGGCACGTCCGGTGTTGAATCAGCACCCGTCTGCCTCCCTTGGCTCAGGGTCCCACCAAGCTGTTTGAAGGGGCTTGACAAGCACAGTAGCCGATGCACCAACTTGGTGCCAAGCACCCGCAGGTGGGTTCTCCCGGGATCTCAGGGCACTATGGGGGTGGAGGTCCTGTCATCAGCACCACTTGAGAGGAGAAACCTAGGCCCACCATGTTCTCCCTGGTCTCACAAATGCCACTGAAATCAACTGGGCCGGACTGCAGGGCAGGGACGTGGGACGGCAAATGACACGCATAAAAATGCCGAGGCTGGGTGTTTAAGATGGCCTGGGCTCGCAGACAGGCCTCTCCCTCCACGCCATTCACCATCTGAGGACAAAGAGGGGGTGCCTCCAAGACCCTTCTGTCACAAGTGAGAGGACCCAACACGAAGTGGCTCAGACCAAAAGAGCCCTGGGAGGGAACCTTCTGGACGCATGCACGTTTGAATCCTGCAGTCCATGCCAAATCCCTGGCCTGGGACTGGCCCAGGGAAGCACGTGCGACCCCACAGGAGCGGCTGATGAGAGGAAGAGGGAGCAGAGGGCATAGCCTCTGCGGTCGGGACCAGCTGGGTGCCAGCTGGGTGAGCCCTTTCACTCACGGCCACCCACTTTCAGGGCCCATGTGTGGACTGTGGCGCAGGGTGTCTGTGGGCTGGGTGGTGTCGGAGCGCAGCCGGGGGTGGGCTGGGGAGATGGCACGGTGGCTGTGGGGGCGCTCGAGAATCTCTGGAAGCTTCCCATGGGGCTTAGGGAGACTGGGAGCTCACTGAAGGGCAGGGAGACACACCGAGGCATCTGCTCTCCTGCCCAGAGGAGGGTGGGCTGCTCTGCTTGGTCTGTGATCTACCAGGAGCGCTGCCTGCCGGGGAGCAAGATGACCGAGGGCACGGGCTTCTCTGCATGTTGAAGACCCAGGCCCCACGACCGCAGCCTGCGCCCCCACCCCTAGAGCAGTGTGCCTCTGCCAGACCACCATCCGCTGCCCTGCATCAGCGTGGCCCCTGCCTCCTCCCTCCCACTGTGTCTACTGGCCCCTCTGCTGAGCATTAGGCCACCGCCCCTGGGGGCAGGCTGGCCTCCTCTCTCCTCTGTCCGAGCCCCCTGGGGGTGCCTCACTTTCCACAGAAGCACCACCACAATCACTAGGGGAGCCCCCAGGTCTTGCCTCCTCCGGGGCCACACGCCCAGCCCCAGCCTCCTGCAGACACCGCCAGGCGCCATCTCCCAGACACAGAGTGCCGGGTCCCCCAGGCCCAGTTCGCAGGCCCTGACACAGCTCTGAGCCAGCGAGAGGCCCCACCCTCCCTCTGGATGCAAGGCCGAGCGTGGGGGCGACGTCGCTGGCTCCATGCCTCCCTCTGCTGATGCCTCCCAGCTGCGGTCTCCCCAAGGCTGCCATCCTGGGGTCCAGGCCACGGTCATCCCTCGCACTCCGACACATGGAGTCAGCCGGGCGCAAATCCACCTTCCCTGGCTGAGGACCTCTGGGATGGGCCACACTTTCAAAGTGCTCTGTGTCCCGGTTCGCGAGCCTGCTGCACGCTATGCCTTGCAGACGCTGGTCCCCCCTGGCTCTGCTCATGCCTCTGACCTTGGGAGACCTTGGGACGGTGCTGCGGGGTGAGGTCCGGACAGTCTCACGGGAAATGAGGGACAGGCCAGTGTTCTCGGGGCCGGAGTTTCCATGCCGCCCAAGCCAGCTGCTTCCTTCCGTAGGCATGGAATTCTCTGCTGAATTCGTTACTTCCCCTAAACTGGGCTCTGTGTCCCCCAGGGGACCGTGTTCTGGCAGAGGGCCCTGCCTTAGTCCGCAGGGGCCCCTGGAGCTGGTCCTGGTGCATCCTGGGAGGATCCCAGCCAGTGCGCCTGCAAGACAGGCCCCTGCGCCCTGTGGGCGGGCGTCTCGCTCCAGCTTTCAGGAGCTACTGAAGCCTTTGTGTCAATTTTAATTATCAGCAAGATGAAGGTCTTTGTGCGGCCTCCGGGGAAGCTGAGCCAGCCCTGAACGTCAGCTTGACCTCTCAGGGAGGGAAATGTCGATTAATTACTTTTTACAGCCAACTCAGTTAGGGTCCCCAGTCACCTGTGTAGGACACAGCGGCGCAGGCAAGAGCCCGCTGGAGTGCACAGGCCTCGCACAGCCGGGCGTGACTGCCTGACGGCCGCTGAGGGCCCAGGCCTCACCAGGCGAACAGCTAGCCACAGACCAAAATGTTTTCTTCATTTAAATGAATCAAAAAATAAAATGTCATTGGCCCTCGGGGACATGGCTGTCACACATGGAGGTGACAGACACGCGGTGTCAGTCTCTCGGGCAGACTCAATCAGGCAGCGGGCTGTGTGCCAGGAAGACAGGGTCACACAAGCTCCGGGCAGAGCGCTGATGCAGCACGGACACGTGGGCTGGGCCTCCACCCGCCTGGGCCACAGGCAAGGGCTCCCTCTAGGCCACATGCCCACCCACCCCTCTGTTTGTCCAGTGGAGACACACACATCCCCTGGCCAGCCTCTGCCCTGCTGGGGCCCTGGGGCCGGCCTGGAGGGTCTGCCAGCTGCCGATGGGGCCCCCGCAGGAGGGTGTGGGGCCCCCACAGGAGAGTGTGGGGCCCACTGGCCAGGCTCCCTCCTCCCTGCTGCTGGAGGCCTCTTCACATGCGCGGACATGCATACATGCACAGGCACACACATCCACACATATGCGGACATGCACCACCACACGGGCCCACGCATACATGTACCCACACGCACGTGCGTGCACTGGCTGATCCTGAGCTCGTTCTCTGCCCAGGAAGACTCAAGTGTGCCTTCTTCACCAGCCCTCCCAGTGCCCGCCTGGGAATGTGGCCCGGGATGCGGCCACCCCCAGGACAGACGCCCTTCAAAGATTTGGCCTTGATGCTTTTTGTGGTGTTTCCCAAATACACTGCGGGGTCAGTGCTGCCTTAGAGGGTGCTTCTAGTGTCCCCCGAGAACCTCTGAGGACCCCTCACACACACGGAGACCCTCCCCAACACCTGTCATTTTGCCCAGAGCTGGCTTACCCCTACCCTTGGGACCCTGCAGTCTTGAGACCCCAGGGGTGGGCAAGGTGAGGGAAGAGGCCAAGTGCCCCCTTCCTGGTGCCTGGACCCTGACCAGGGACCTCCTCCACGTGCATTTGGTGACCCAACCAGGAGAGCTGGGCGCTTGAGGAGGGTCTCCAGCAGCTACCAGCTTTCTAGGGCCATGGCTGCCTTAGTGAGACTGCGCATTGCTCTTGTCCCACGAGGGGACAGGCTGAGGCGTCAAAGGCTGCTGGCCCCAGGCACGCCCCGACACCCACCCTGGGTCCTGCCTTCTCACCTGTCTGAGCTCCCTGAACAGCCCGACGTGACCTGGGAGCTGCTAGCATTCCACCCGACGCAGATGCTGTTTCCATTCGGAACAGTGGTGATGGCCTCGTTCCATAA